CTTTACAATCGACACAAGCAGGCCGATGGAAGAGCATATGGAGTTATAGATACGATTAGCCATGGAGGGTAGCGGCTTTCACCTACCAACCTCGATGGATAATAATATATATAACTCTAAATTCACGAGATTTCCCCTATTTGATACATCGGCTCGAATAGGGTTTATAAAGTAAGTTTGCATTCATCATCGTCCTTCAAAAATAATCCTGGTTGCCGAAGGGCCATCCAGGGGAAGTCAAAAATAGGAGACGTAGTACGAAAATTGTTCTCTGTCATCCGACAACAACCAAAAAACAAAACATCATATGAGTAGATTTTGAAAGGTCTTAAAGCTTTTCTGCTTGTGACTTTTAGAGGAGACAGCCCTCTTAATTTTGACAATAACTGTCGCTTGGCAATCAAAGGAGTTGCCAAAAACTCCATCGTTTCTAACCCTCCATAAATAGTAGATGATAGCACATAGAAGCATGAAGCCAAATTTTTTTCCTGTTTTTGTCAATATCCCAATCATCAATGCTGCTAAAAGTTTGCCTGATAGTAGGTCTCAAAAATATGTTACTCATAAGAGGAAAAATGTTCTTAAGGATGCTATAAGTATAGTCACATCCAAATAGAAGATGATTTTGAGATTCCACGTAAGCAAAGAAAGATTCTTACAGGTCAAAGATCCTATCATTCTAGACTTTGACTTCATCGTCCAATAGATTTTTTTTTTTTGGAAAATCTTAATATGTTTTTGGGAAAAGATAGAAATCTTTTGCTCAGCCGTTGACCACACATAGCCTCCCGCTTCGGAGGATGGGTCACTATTTTGTCAACATGGTGCGGACGCCCTTATCCTTTTTATATGCGGGTTTCAGGATCCACCGTCCATTCTCTGGATGATAAATCGAGCATTTGAAGAAATATATATTATTTTTTATTTTTATTTTTTTTGGGTGTAGGTGGTTATTTGACACAATTATATTCTGATTTTAGCCCCACTTGCTATATGCAAGTGTGAGAGGTAAAGGGAGACATTAGTGAAAGTGGAGTTATAATACATACATCAAAACTTTTGCATTATATTCATTGCATTGTATACATTAATATTTTAATGAATTAAGCACAAATGAGGTTCAGAATCAAATGTTAGAAATTTTTTAGTCTCTTTATAACTCTGAAATGAACAAGTCAAGTGTAAGTGAAAAGTAAATAATCTTCTGATAACATGTGCTCTGTGAAGTATTGAAAGCCCCTATGAAAATGATAATACAAGTATAAGTAAGTATTCTGATCATAATTGTGGACTGAATTCTAGAAAATATGTTATGTCAGTATTTCATTCATTTCATTTAAGTTATTTCATTTTGCTTAAATTGTTATTTAATATTTTGAATTGGATATTAACATCTATGATAGGTAAGGGAGGGAGTTTGCTGAGCTAGTTGTGCTCATTCCATTCTTTCTGACATTACAGGAAAAGGTAAAGGCCTGACAGAGTAGAAAGCGTTGAGGCAGGATCTTCTGTGTCTGAGTGACTAAGGTATTATTATTTTTAATATAGCTTTAATTATTTTTTATGTATGGATAATTGGAAATTAGCTGTTTTACTGTATTTATGTTTTGAAGAAATGAATTTTGTTTGTATCACTTTTATGATTTAGAATTTTAGTAGCTCTGGTTGTTGTTGGTTAAGGGACGAGTTAATTAATTATAGGTTTAAGTGATTCAATCATTCCATTGGATTCTAGGACGTCATAAAGCAAGCCTTCAAAAATTTGGCCTAATTTTTTCCTTCTAACATATGATGCTAGATTGATGAGGATACGGTAGAAAATATAGAATATTTTCTTGCAAAGAGAAGACCCTTACGATTATGAGCTCTCTTCCTTCATCTCCCCATGAGGCCTCTTGGGTTAAACAAAAGGTGAAGTCCTAGTAGTTTCACATGGAAGATGATGACATTAGGTTTCTCTTCAAGAAATAATAGGCTGCAAATTCTCAAATAAGATTAGACTATTAGACGTGTGATTCTTGTCTTTCTTCTCAAGATGATATCTCCTAGGTTGATATTTATTTCTTTAGATCCTTTTTCAACACCTTCTATTTAACTACTAATACTAAAAAGTTTAATATTAATGTTCTTCATTTAAGTTATTGCATTTTGCTTAATTTGTTATTTAATATTTTGAATTGGATATTAACATCTATGATAGGTAAGGGAGGGAGTTTGCTGAGCTATTTGTGCTCATTCCATTCTTTCTGACATTACAAGAAAAGGTAAAGGCCTGATAGAGTAGAAAGCGTTGAGGCAGGATCTTCTGTGTCTGAGTGACTAAGGTATTATTATTTTTAATATAGCTTTTAATTATTTTTTATGTATGGAATTGGAAATTAGCTGTATTACTATATTTATGTTTTGAAGAAATGAATTTTGTTTGTATCGCTTTTATGATTTAGAATTTTAGTAGCTTTGGTTGTTGTTGGTTAATAGACGAGTTAATTAATTATAGGTTTAAGTGATTCAATCATTCCATTAGATTCTAGGACGTCATAAAGCAAGCCTTCAAACATTTGGCCTAATTCTTTCCTTCTAACATATGATGCTAGATTGATGAGGGTACAGTAGAAAATATAGAATATTTTCTTGCAAAAAGAAGACCCTTACGATTATGAGCTCTCTTCCTTCATCTCCCCATGAGGCCTCTTGGGTTAAACAAAAGGTGAAGTCCTAGTAGTTTCACATGGAAGATGATGACATTAGGTTTCTCTTTCAAGAAATAATAGGCTGCAAATTCTCAAATAAGATTTGACTATTAGACATGTGTGATTCTTGTCTTTCTTCTCAAGATGATATCTCCTAGGTTGATATTTATTTCTTTAGATTCTTTTTCAACACCTGCTATTTAACTACTAATACTAAAAAGTTTAATATTGATGTTCTTATTAACTAAAATATCCTTGAAGAGGATGTCTCCTCTCACATTGATTTGTTCGTTGTGAAAGAGATTAGAAAAACTATCATCAATACATAAAATAATAAATCTCCTGGTGTGAATGGATTCACCTTTGAGATTTGTTGTGGGGGGGGGGGGGGGGATTTATGAATGTTTCGCTGATGTATAACTTAGTGCTTATTGTCACCTTTTTTATTCATAATCATTATATATGTATTTCTTACCTAATCGAAGATACAAAGTTATTTGGCTACTTCACTTTTGTTGGCAGGTATCCCTCTGTGATTTCTAACATCCTTTTTGAGGATGACATTCATGTGAATGGGAGAGTTATCATCAACATTCTCAACCTTACACCATTCTATTGACAAGTTTGTCAAAGTCTTCAATTTTCTCTATCAAAATATTATTATTATTTTTGTTTCTATTTTGAAATCACTCCCCTTGCTATCATTGTTGGTTTCCATCTATGATCCTTATCTTTCACGGATCTCAACATTCTTCTCTCTTTAGAACTCATAACCCCTAAACTATTTCAAGAGCATGTAGATAACATCTACCACCAATTCTCTAGTTGAAAAATCAAAATTCTAGTCATGATAAGATTCTTTTCGCTCCTCAAAATCACTTTGATCAGTCTTCTCTTTTTGGATAGACACTTGCGCCATTCATAAAGGTACTATTAAAGTTCCAAACCACTCTTGATTTGTTCACTAGAAACATGTTGTGGTTGATTACTTGTAGGTTAATTTACCTTGCCTAGGGTTGCTAATGGGTGGACATTGCTCCCTTTGCTCCCATTATTGAACTTGCTTCTCAATTGAAATTTGCTTATAAGATTATGAAAGGTGAGAAGACTTTGAGCCTCGTTGTACATTAGTTTTAGACATTTATGGAGTCTTGCTCCTTTTTTTTTCCTTAATAAAAGTCCATATACTTGAGGGCATAATGAAATATATTTAGGAGAGAGTCACTCCTCTTTTCTCTTGGACTTCTAGGTGGACAATAGGAGCATTAAAAATCTTCTTTCATGACATATTCTCAGAGTTTGGGATCCTTGGCACTTAAACATGCATCCACCATCATCATCAATAACACTTGGAACATATCCACTATTTGTACGATTGCCAAAACTTCTAGAAATGCTTCAAGTTATATCTATTTTGGATCTAGAGGTTAGTTCTCTTCTACCACTTCTCTGTCATTCCTCAAAAGATCCATCGAAGAGTCCCTAATCCCTACTTATGAAGTGGTTTTCTTCCTGAAGCTTTTTTTATTCAAACGACTTGTTTTACATTTTGCTATCTTTTTTAACAATAGGTGATTATGATGGGTGGCCCTTTTGGTGGGGTTAGTTAATAAAAAATGCTTAGAAATATTTAGTTTGTTATTTAAAGAAGTGATATAGAATTTTTGGTAGAAAGATGAGGGGTTTGTAGAGGTACGGTTAAAAGAATATCAATACTAGTCCTTTTTGAGCTAGTTTTTGAGTTGATTTGCAAGTTTACTTTATGGAATGTGTTTTGAGTAGGGTGAATGGTTGAAAATGACGGAGGATTATATTAGAATGTGAACTTATGATATCGAGTACATGGTAGATTTTTTGAGATTAAATGCCCTGTAGTGGTATGAAGAACGAGACTTTGTGCAAGAGTGTCTAAACTATGTTGAGGGTTTTGAAGACAACTGGGTTGATTTTATTAAGACTTGAGTTGGGGATGGCTGGTCTTTGAGAGATGGAGAGGGTGTAGAAGAAGATGACACAAAGGATTAAAAGCTAATTTAAGAAGAATAGTAATAAAAATAAAGATAACTAATCAATCCCACCAAACACTATCCAAAAGAGAATAGTTTCATTCAAAATTTTTTATCATTCAAAACCTAAAAATTTGTCATTACATACCAACATTATTTATAGAGTTACAATGACTATGACAATTCAAAAATAAGAGATTTTTTTTTGGAAGGGGAAGGGGGGGAGGGGTGGAAATGGAGTGAGTGGCCACTAATAGAGGTAGATGATAACTGCATTTATTAATTCATCTTACATTCGTTAAATAACTAACCTATACATTTTTCCTTGAAAAGTCAAATCTTGTAGAAGCTAAATTTGAAATTTAAATATTAAAATTCTAAATTAATTTTTTCTTCATGAGTGGGCTCTTGTAATGGATCTTGATTGGACTTTTACTTCAGGATTCTTGGACTTTTTCTTGAGCTCCTGTGATTGAATCTTTAACTTCATATTTTAAATCCAATTAATGCGCTACATCAATAGTCTACTCATGAATGACCAACTCATTTTGTTTTTATTGTCATTCTCAAATATTTTAATTATCATCCCTTCTCAAATATCATAATTCACTTATGCTCTTAAATAAGGTGGCCTCACTGATATAGGACTTAAATGTTTAGACAATGTTACATAAGAAGTTGCACGCTTCTATTTGAGAGCATTATTAGTTTTTAAACTTACAGTGATTTTAAACAATGAAAGAAAATGAGAGAGGAGTGAAACTCGCTTAGGCCAAATCACAAAGCTAGAAGTTAAGATCACAAAATAATCAATTATTCAAACATAGCATACATGAAAAATTTTCAATGAGAAATCCCTAAATTAACAATGAGATTAATCACTACGAAAAAGATCCCTCACTCAACTTTTTAAATTACTAGGCTTAGTAGCGGTGGAAGTTAACACAGCCATCATGAATCAATTATGACCACAATGGAGAGTAATTAGGAAGGAATAGAATTTGGAGAAAAAGTTCTACTTCTTTTGGGTTTGGAAATAATTTGTCACTATATGGGGTAGAGTTGGTCATCGATGGCTTCGGCGAGGGTGAAGACGATCCTCTCTACGTATTCCTCTACAATTTGATCAATCTTCAGGGTGAGGTCGAAGAACGGTGAGTTGAGGATGTCGACGTGGCCTTGATCGTCGTAAACAAATATGTGATCTTGTTCAAGATCTTCCATACATTATTGGACAAAAACTTTCTAGTTTTTGAAACCTTCAGACAACAATAGGAACCCTTTTGGACTGCAGGACATCGAGGAGAGGTCGCTGGAAATTCAGGACAGCACTTGATCTTCTTCTGGACAGCAAAGGATTGGTTTTCGAATGCAGGACAACAATCTTGTGATGTTGAAACCCTGTAGAAATTGGTGTTTGGAAGGATAAAATTAGGGTTTGGTCAATTAATTTAAGGGGGAGGGGATGGGGGAGTGGCCAGCCATAGGGAGGAGGGGAAGGGGAATTTTAATTCCAGAAAATTTTGAATTTGAATAGGGAGGGAAACAAATTCAAAATTCTGAAATTAATTTCAGCCTTAAAGGGATGAATTAATTGGGAATTGATGGATTGATTTGAGGAGCATTAATGGACCTAATAAATAAATGAGAGAGAGAGAGAGAGAGAGAGAGAGAGAGAGAGAGAGAGAGAGAGAGAGAGAGAAAGAGGGGGGGGCATGAGTAGGTTGGTTAGGGTTTAGGGAAAGAGAAGCAATGCTTACTTAATCAAGGATTGCAAATTGAGGTAGGTGAACTAAATCAAATCTAATTAGAAATTCAATTAGATTTCATTTAAGTAACTTTCCAAAAATAGATCATCCTATTTTAGGAAACAAATTCAAATTCAAAATTGATTGGAATTTAAAATCAAAGCTTTCCAAATCGAGGATGTTTAATAAATGGAAAGTATTCGAGGATGCTTAATAAATGGAAAGTTTTAACGAGCGATTGAATTTTTGAGGCAAAGGGGAGGGGAATGAGGCCGGCGGTTAGGGTTAGGGTTAGGATTGGAGTTTGGCGGTTTGGAGGTGGGAGATAGGGTGGTCGGATCGGATGTGGTGGTGGTGGTGGGGCTTAGCTGAGAGAGGGAGAGAGGGATTTGGGTGGCTGGCGGCTAGAAGGAGGGTGGGTTTCGGCCGAGAGAGGGAGGGGATTTGGCCGGCGGTTAAAGGGGAAGGGAGGGAGGATGGAAAGCGACAAAGTCGACCACGGACATGGACGCTTTCTGCGGTTGATGGGTATTGCGATGCCTTCACATAGGGACTTCAATCTCTTTAAGAACTCTCAAGCTCTCTCAAAACACATAAGTGCAGAAATTTCATAATATCATTCGTCATCCCTCAAAGAAGGAGGAGACTTTAAATAGCCAATACAATGAAGAAAATACAGAAGACCAACTTGCCCCTAGGGCATACACATGACTAGGCCCTTAAGTGAGGGCATAAAAGGAAAAATACAATAAAACTCATAAACTAATACATTAATAAAAAATCTAATACAATGATAATCAAAAGTAAAGTGATGTAATCGTGGCCGTAGATTGACAGCCACACCTCTGGTAGACTCTCCAAGGTCGGATGTCCTCATCATTCTCCCGGGTGGAAAAAAGCTCGATTCCATTGAGTACGCGTCCCAGGTATTCTCATAATCTCTAATGCATCTAGATCAATCCGCTGGAGCTCCTTGCGCTCTAGCCAGATGTCCTCTGACTCTTGCTTAGCTCTCCACCTGATCAAATACCTTCTTCGTCCACCCTCTTTTGTGGAAATGATATCATCACTAAGGATCATGTCGACCTTCTTCACCGTAGGTACTTGAGAATATTTGGGAGTGGAGGTAGGCTTAGGTTTTCACAGGGTGGGGTCACACAAGGCTCATTTTGTAGTTGATTTGGTGGGTACAAAATAAATATTCTATGTTAAAAGAGTGATTAATGTTGAATTCTGCAAACAGATCCACCATATAAGCATTGTCATTGATTTTCTTAACTATTTTGAATGGTTCCACACTTTTAGCATGTAACTTCTTAACAGTTCTTTGTGGGAACCGTTCCGTACGAATCCGCACCATCACTGAATCACCAACCTCAAAAATTTTAAATCTTTGTTTAAGATTAGCATGAAGTTTATAATTAATATTACTTTGTTCAATTCAGAGTGCAATTTCCTTATGTAGCTCATGCAAATGAGGATGCATACTCAGAAATTCTATAACACATGGGTATAAGATCTAATGGTTACCGAGGTTTGTACCCATAAACAATTTCAACAGGGTTTAAGTCAGTGGTGCGGTTCACAGAATTATTGTAGGTAAATTTTATTATGGGGAGTTTGGAATCCCAATCCTTAATGTGTTCACCTACTAGGGACCTTAACAAATTACCTAAACTTATATTGACCACTTCAGTTTGGCCATTAGTTTGTGGATGAAAGACTGGAGAATTGTACCTTAGTGCCCATTTTCATCCAGAGAGTTTTTCAGAAGTAACTGGTGAACTTGACATCCCTATCTGATCTAATGGTCTTGGGTAAACCATGTAATCTGATGACCTCATTGAAGTACAGTTTGATAATGTGGGAGGCATTGGATGTCTTTGAACAGGTTAGGAAATGGGCCATTTTGGAAAAATGATCAACTATAACACAGATGACGTCATTCCTATGAAAGTCTTGGGCAAGCCTAGGACGAAGTCCAAGCTAACATCTTGCCACGGATAACTGGGAATAGATATAGGATTGTAGAGACCAGTGTTTTGTTTACGTTGCTTGGCTAGTTGGCAAGTGTGGCACCTACTGACCATTTTACCAATGTCCTTCTTCAGGCTGGGCTAGAAGAAGTGGTATTGTATGGCTTCTATCGTCTTATCACGATCGAAGTGTCCAGCGAGGCCTCCGATGTTGAGTTCCCAAATTAGGAATTCCCTAAGGGACGTGCTAGGGATACAAAGCTTCTGAGCTTTAAAAAGATACCCATCCTCAAGGAGAAAATCACCCACAAGGCGTGTGTTTCCTGTAGACAATAGGGAGTAAGTCTCATTGAAGTCAGGGCATTCCAAGTAGTCCTCTTTGACTCGCTCAAACCCAACGACTTCGGCTCTCATCTCGGTTGTTGTCATCATACGACGACTAAGAGCATCGACAAATTTATTCTCAACTCCCGCCTTGTGCCTAAGGGTATCAATGTATTCTTATAAAAACTCTACCCAACGCCCATGACGCTTATTTAACTTTTTCTGGGAGTTAATGTAACAAAGAGACTCGTGATCCAAAAAGATAACGAACTCTTGCGGGAGCAAGTAGTGTCGCCAATAACAAAGGCATTGGATCACAACATAGAACTCTTTGTCATACGTAGAATAGCATTGCCGGATGTCATTTAACTTCTCACTAAAATAAGAAATATGGTGACCTTCCTGGGATAGGACTCCTCCAATTTCGACCCCCGAAGCATCGCAGGTCACTTCGAAGACTTTGGAGAAGTCAGGAAGTCTCATAATTGGGGCTTCCACCATTCGTGTCTTAAATGTTTAGGCAATGTTACATAAGAAGTTGCACGCTTTTATTTGAGAGCAATATTGGTTTTTAAACTTGTAGTGGTTTTAAACAATGAAAGAAAACGAGAGAGGGGTGAAACTAGCTTTTAGGCCAAGTCACACAGCTAGAAGTTAAGATAACAAAATGATCAATTATTCAAACTTAGCATACATGAAGGATTTTCAACGAGAAATCCTAAATTAGCTATGAGATTAGTCACTACAAAATAGATTCCTCACTTAACTCTTTAAATCACTAGGCTTAGTGGAGGGAGTTAACACAACCGTTATGAATCAATTATGACTACAATTGAGAGTAATTAGGAAGGTATGGAATTTGGAAGAAAAGTTCACCTTCGTCAGGGTTTGTTGGAAATAATTTGTCACTGTACAGAGGAGAGTTGGTCGTCGATGGCTTCGGCGAGGGTGAAGATGATCCTCTCTACGTATTTCTCTACAGTTTGGTCAATCTCCAGGTTGAGGTCGAAGAACTGTGAGTTGAGGATGTCGACGTGGCCTTGATCATCGTAAACAAACCATGATCTTGTTCAGGATCCGCCATACATTACTATACAACACCTTTCAAGTTTCTAAAACCTTCGAACAGCAATATTAAAGTTAGGAATTAATTGGGAATTGATGGATTGATTTGAGGAGCATTAATGGATCTAATAAATAAATGAGAGAGAGAGAAGAGAGGGGGGGGGATGAGTAGGTTGGGTAGGGTTTAGGGAAAGGGAATTAATGCTTATTTAATCAAGGATTGTAAATTGAGATAAGTGATCTAAATCAAATCCAATTAGAAATTGAATTAGACTTGATTTAAGTAACTTTCCAAAAATAGATCATCCTATTTTAGGAAACAATTTCAAATTCAAAATTGATTGGAATTTGAAATCAAAGCTTTCCAAATCGAGGATGTTTAATAAATAGAAAGTATTAATGAGGGATTGAATTTTGGAGGCAAAGGGGAGGGGAATGAGGTCGGCGGCTAGGGTTAGGGTTAGGATTAGAGTTTGGCGGTTTGGAGGTGGGAGATGGAGTGGTCGGATAGGAAGTGGTGGTGGTGGGGCTCGGCCAAGAGAGGGAGGAGGCCGGCGGTTGAAGGGGAAGGGAGGGATGATGGGGAGCGACGAAGTGGACCACGAACCCGGACGCTTCCTGTAGTTGGTAGGTATTGCGATGCCCTCATCTAGTGACTTCAATCTCTCCAAGAACTCTCAAGCTCTCTCAAAACATATAAGTGCAGAAATTTCATAATATCATTCAACATCCCTCAAAGGAGGAGGAGGAGACTTTAAATAACCAATACAATGAAGAAAATACAAAAGACCAACTTGCCCCTAGGGCATACACATGACTAGGCCCTCAAGTGAGGGCATAAAAGAGAAAGTACAATAAAACTCATAAACTAATATATCAATAATAAATCTAATACAATAATAATCAAAAGTAAAGTGGTGCAATCGTGGCCGTAGATCGACGGCCACGTCTCTGGTAGACTCTCCAAGGTCGGATGTCCTCATCACTCGCTTTATCTTTCTCTAACCTTACATCATTTATTCACAAAAGATCCTTTTCTAAGAGAATAATGATCCAGATAACATCGATCATATTGAAAGGGAAGCTTAAACGTTCAAATCTACTCTAAAAATATAATATTTGGACAAAACATCAAAATTATCCAAGAACTTATTGCTTAAATGTGTACTTGGTGCATGAAAACCCCGTGTCCATTAACAGCTTTCTTATTGAAGGCTTTGAAGCTGAGCAATTTGTAGCCATGAAAAAAATATTCAAAATGTTTTCAAACAACTTATTATTTTCTTTAATGATCAGCGTCAATGCTCAAGTAAAGCCATAAAAAGTTGCGGCCTTTCCCTAAATTAGGTGGTTGATAGTTTTAGCCCCATTCAAGAGGCCACTTGGGTTCGAGGATATTGGCATTAAAGTTATTAAATGTAATATTATATTCAATTGTTTTCTTGTCACTCGAGTTCTGGACTGTTTGATGAAGCTACCATGAAAATAAACCATTTTCCCTCACTAGGGTAATTAGGAGAAAGAAAACCATATCCAGATATGGCTAAAGGAGAAATTGCTGCTTTAAAGGAAGCTCTCCGCAACCAACATCTTATCATAAAGAAGCTGTACGTTGAGTTAGAGGAAGAAAGAGAAGCTTCAGCAACTGCAGCCACTGAAGCTCTCTCTATGATCCTTCGCCTGCAGAGAGAGAAAGCTGCAGAGAAGATGGAAGCTTGTCAATACAAGAGAATGGCAGAGGAACGGATAAACCATGCTGAAGAGACCTTGGAGGTGCTTGAAGAAGTCGTTCAGCAGAAAGACTTGGAGATTGAATCTCTCCGATTCCAACTCAAGGCAAATAAGCAAAAACAGACAAATCATGGCATCAGCATTCCAGACATCGGAGAAATGTTGCTTTGTGAGAACAAATCATGTTGTAATGGTATTTTTAGAAGGAATGCTTCTTTGCCTTCACTTCGTGGGGATGAGTTTAGTTTCGATAAGAGATTCCTTGATGATGAAAGTCCTATATTATCCTCTAAGTTATCTGTATGGAGGAAGATTGGTGATTTCACAAATCAACATATCGGGATGAGTGAGAATGAAGCAGATGACTTGTTTGATGATCTGGTAGCTAGTGAAGGAAAGCCTCGAAGACAATATGAAGCTATAGAATTAAGCAGGAGGGATAAAGGGTTTTTGCAGGCTAAAATTTCAGCATTTGGTTCTTGTTCCAGTGCGGTGGGCAATGAGGTTCAAAGCATTTCTTCACCTATTGGCTCCATGGCTTCCTGGTTTTCTGCACCTATTAGTGATGTTTCTACTGATTCTTCTAAACGAGTGGAAGACATGAAGTCAGATAATGAAGCCGTTTCTAGTTCACCTTCTCAATATGAAGATAATGAAAATGCTTCTAGCCTAACAAGAAATTTTAGTGGGAAAGCAAGGTATTCTGCCTTATTCCATGACATATTTGGGGTTCCAGAGAGCCACAAAGATTGCAAGCCTGGTGAACTTTGTAAGATGTTATTGCAGGATGCAATCTCGGAGACTAATTCCATGATTGAAATGCCAAATATGATGCTAAAGGAAGTTCCAGATTATCTTATCAAACATGATGAGGGCCTTAATAAAACATTCATTGGCAATCACAATGAGGCCAAGTTCTCTTTGCCTGCTAAAGAGCCTATCATAGCAAAGTTGGGCAAGATGTGCACACCGAAAAAGGGTACTTCTGTTAATTATCAATGGGATCTCATCGATCCTGGAAATGGAAATGTTATTTCCCATTCTGATATTGAACAGCTTAAAAGAAGACTGCAGAAGCTTGAGGATGAGAGGATTATCTTGCATGAGGATTCTGAAAGAGGAAAGAAGCAGTTGAAGGAAATGTTAAAGCAGCTGAATTCAATAGAGACTCATATAAAGAGGTCAACATCCAGGAAGAACTCTCATGTGGATGAATCCTCACTTGTCTCAATAATGGAGGTTCGTGTCTTCCACTTTTGAATATATTTTGCATTTCGATGATAGCCTGATGCCCTCAATTTATGTTTTGTGCATTAAATTGATTTCTATTGCCTTTTACTTAACCTGGAAAACCATATTTTCAATGAACTTGAGAAATTTTGGAGGAAGATTTTTTCTGAGATTTTTTATTTGTTTAGCAGGCAGTTCTATCATTCTCAATTTAGCCAAGCCTATTTGATACATTCTCGACTGGCACTCCTCACATCAACTCCAATTTTTACTGGATTTGCTTTATTTAGACTTCGTTTGGGACGGCTTTCTTATTGCTTCTTAAAGCAATTTTTAAATACAAAAATTAAAAATTTTGTACTAAAAAGCTGTTTTAAGAAGTAGTAAAAAAACCGTCTCAAATGAAGCCTTAGTCTAGATCAGATATCTTCTTGAACGGAGACTTCAGAGGAACTGCAGTGCTTTGTGGATTCCTCTTTTTTTATGATTTATTTTTATGTTATATGTTTCTTTATATTGCAACGAAAGTAGATCTTGATTAGAACACAGTTGTATAGTAACATTGCATTTGGCTGTTATTAAATGCCAAAATTTGTATAATTCAGAACCTGTGGATTGAGATTCTAAAAAAATAAAATCACTTTTTATCAATTTCTGGATTTTGTGCTCTCTGCTCTATGAATTTCTTCGATCTGCTTGAAATTGATCCTTTTGCTGATTAACTAAATTATAAGAACATCTACATGATACATTTGACTTTTTTTTTTTTGTTTTTTTGTTTTTTGTTTTTGAAACTCACAACGGGGCCTACGCGTTATATAAAAAAAGAGGTATAAGTTCTTATGATCAGAAGCTCTCTAAAAGAATAAAATTTGAAGTAAACGAGTCTGAGATCCTATTTATTACAATAAGAAAAAAAAAAAACAGAAAACCAGGAAACAAAGGCAAACCCAAGAATCAATACCAAGCAAAGCAACAACTCGATCAGCAATAACCTTCAGCAACTCTCAGCAACACGAGCACCCATAAATTGCAACCAGTTAAGATACTCCAAAGCAAAGAAGTAATGAACCTACAACAACAAAGGGAAACCACCCATAATAGGTAAACATCACAATAGCAAGGCCAATAACCCAAAAAACAACATCAACAGAGAACCCATAACAACAACAAAAATCATAGAATTAATAAAGCACCAAAGTAGCCAAGAAATTACCAAAAAATCAATCCCAACAAAGCCTCACACCAAAGGAAACAAACCCAAACCAACATAAATGACATTGCCTCACCCCCTAACCAGACCACAACCCAACAAACCAATCCCCACCCAAAGCACACTAACCAAACAAACAACCCCAGCAGTTCGAACCCCCACGCACTAACTGACAAAAGCCATAGAGCCAACACAGCCAAAATACAAATCCTACCAAAGACAAGAAAAACCATAAAATTACTTATTTTTTTGCTTTCTTTTTGTTTTTCTGCCTACTTTATTTAGCAAAAACATTCTGAATGCATAATCTTCGACACGAACCACATTCAAACCAAACAAAGTTTGAAACTCATCCCTAGGCTCAAATTTATCTTCCCCATCTCCCCGGTTAGCTGAGGAGTGACACTCATTTAGCCAATCTGAATGATCAACACAAGACTCCTTCGAATTTAATGCTAAATGAGTAATCAAAGCATCCTTAGAGATAAGAGGGATTGGAACATCAATAACAACCACATTTTTATCCACATTGGCAATATTAGGCAGTGCACCTAGATCAGTCAAGGGAGAGTCGCCTGAAAGCATCACCAATCCGCTAGAGGAATCATTCAAATCAACCCTTTTTACATCACACAAATCCACATTTACATCATCTAAGTTCTCATTGCAAAGATCATTATCTTTAGAAGCTTTCTCAACAATAATAGGGGAAACAACAAGTTGATGAACACAAACAAGAGTTAAAGACAAGTTATTACCACCCACATTATTAATACCCTCACATTCCTCTTTGTTAGAGCAATGAAAATCTAATAAAGGTGAAGCACAATGAAAATGAGACAATTGAACCATAGGAACCAAAACATCTTTGCCATCCATCTTATCAATGGTACTATCAAGATTCTCAGCAACATAACCAACAATTGGCACAGCAGACGAAACCGTAAGGATGGCCGAAATAACAGGCACATTAAAATGCCCCAAATTATAAACAGGATGATGAAAAGTTCATATTCCAAATTATCCACATTATCTTGCAATGTTAAGTCAACACTAACATAGGAGGGAGCAAAGAAGTTAAAGACGTAGCATCAGTGATAACTCGATAAGCATCAGTGCCATTCCCCATGGAATTAACACTAGGTTTAGGAGGAGCTCTATCTACGTGGGGGTGAAGAATATGATAGTTAGTTTTGCAATGCCCTAGAAACTTGCATTGATCACAAAATGGAGGAAAATCCTCCACGACAACATGTTGAACGTAACCTAAATTACCAGGACCAATCCAAATAGCCTCAGGGTAACATTTCAAAATATCCAGTTCGATAAGCACCATAGCAACAGCCAACCGTGAACCAACAACAATGGCATTATCAGTTTTCAAAGGATGGCCAAAAAATGAATCCAAGACATAAAGAATGAGAGAGAGAGAGAGAGAGAGAGAGAGAGAGAGAGAGAGAGAGAGAGAACAAATGAAGCCTAAGATTTGGGAACGAAACACAAATATAAATAATTGGATATTTCACAGTAATGTCAAAAAATGGTGACCAATCAAACAATTTCATATAGCAATTAGAAATGAAATAAGAACGATGAGAAAATACTCTACTATAATTCATATCATTAACAAGCTTGATTAAAATATGCATGGGATCCACTACACTGATAGAGCCTTCACCGATCAATTTTAGGTTAAAGAAAAACTTATGAATGGACTCAAGAGGTCTGCAATTCAGAAATTTACCAACCAACACAAACTCAAATTATTGCGCAAGAGCAAGGATTTCTTCTTCCAAAATCCATAAGTACGGAAGCCCACGATGTGTTGTAATTTTGAGATCCGAAAAATTTCTGCTCGAAAGGGAAGCCCCAGACAAGGCTTCAAGAAAAGAACTAGTGTTCTTTTGCCCATTAAGGAAACTAAGGTCACTCAATCGATTAATCGCCATCCGAGTCGAGAGACGACTGGAAGTGGCACGATTGAAAGAGAAAAACCAAGAGAGAAAGGGAGGAAAATACACCAGGAGAAGAAATCCCATATGATCGAAGGAAATGGAGAGCCGAAGAAGATCGAAACAGCTGATATGGAAGAAACCCTAGCAGAGTGAGCGGGGAGGAAAAGTGATTGATATTTTTTGAAATATGAAGATTTGACATGTTTCTGTATTAACAATATTTACAATATATGACATTGAAAACATGGCTCATCTTTATATCATGGAATTTTTCTTTGGAAATATCATTCCATTCAAATGGCATAAGGTGCTGATGTTGAGATATCAACATCATGAAATTAGATAAAATTAGGCTATGGAGATACTTTGATTTACTACTTATATTTATAATATCTTCATCAATAATTATCTTAATAGAACCTCCCTATCATTAACTTTATTTACCTTAGCAAAAGTATGTTTAGCTTTATTGTCACTATTATCTTAATCACATTTCTCTTCTTAATCTTTCTAATAATTTACAAACTTTTCTTGTATATTTATTTTCTTCTTATTCAAATGTTTCAAATTTTATTTAAAAATTATAATATTCAATTTAAGCTTCATTTGGGACGGCTTTTTACTGCTTCTTAAAGCAATTTTTAAGTACAAAAATTAAACCTGAACATCTCCCTAAATAACTGACAATACAATGTATAATGTCTCTAATGTCCAAAGACTCCTGACCCTATTTTTGACACTTATAGCGCACCGGGGGATCACATATATACGGTTTTCTTAGCGTGGTGGGAGGAAGCCCTGTGCAAAACTTGCGGCGAGGCTGGTAGACCTTGTACACATTTTTCTTAACGTGACAGGGACATTACTATGTACCCGTGCATGTGCTTCTATGCATGCAGGAAAAAATTGTAAATATTTCAAACAGGTATCTCAAGGACCTATACACACTTTTCTTAGCTTTGTGAGAATAAAAGCCACGGCCGCGATGTCACCCCACACCTTTCATACGTGTTTTTTTTAGCATGGTGGGAAGGTCTAGCTCCCCAAAATTTTACTAAATGGATTAGAAGTTGAGGGGTTGTCGAATTTTTCAGTGAAATAGAGGACCTGCACTTAAACAAAATGTAGGGAACAAAACATAAACCACTAAACAGAGAATCATACCTAAATGCCTAAATCAAAATAATAATTTACATAAATTAAATGTAAATGAACAGACAAAAACTCGTAGTTGGCAAAGAATTTCAAATACAACTCACTCACAAGCAAAGAGCAAATGAAAAATGTGACGATGCACTCACAAGAAATAATTGAAAATTTATAATGGAATTATCATGTTAGTTGAAATTCAAGCATCAACAAGCAAATTCATTGAGTAAACCACAAGCTGCTTTCAAGGATAGTGAAGGGCTTGTGATTTTCAATAGGATTTTCCCACAAGAAGTAAAGTTGAAGGTAATTCGTAGTTTAATTACAAGCAAGCATGGAAAGTCCTTGACACATGTTATAAATCATCTATGAGTGGTAATAGTCGTTGTGTAAAACTCACCTTAGTTATGCAAGCAACTACATATATATGTCTCCTGCAAGTAGAGGGATTTGATATGCAATGAACACAATGATTTGATGAGTTCAGAACGAATGAAGTCTATGTATAGCCATTGTCATCCAACTCCAAGCAAGCATGCCAATCTACTCGCAAACAATAAGATTCCTTACAAGCATACACAATGCAACACGCAATGAATGCTATGATGTCTCTTCAATCAATAACGACCAACTTGCAGATAAATGCAGTAGTTCCTTACAAACACTGAAAGTCAACATACAATGAGTATAGTAAGTTGCTGATGAATGTATGTGGGGAAATTAGCAATGAATGCAGCTCACCCAACAGTCGGCATTGATTTGCATGTGAACCCACAAACTCATTTGCAAACATGCACAATACAACACACGATAAATGTGAATACCTACTGGCAATGACAGATGATTTGCCGTATGCACAATAATACACCTACGGGTGATGATTATTAACATACACTGAATGTTACGACACCCTTACAGTTAGTAATCATTCAATGGCTGGCAAATACGTTGATCTCTTGCAAGCAGAGGTAGTCAATACACAACAAATGCAAATACCTACGAGTAGCACTAGAAGATTTATATTCAGTGCAACTTTCCCATAGATGAGAGTGCAAGATTTGCAATACATACATCATACCTACCTACAAAAAATGATAGTGAATGTATTGCCAGTATGGTGGACTCTCTATAGGCATGAGTAAGAATATTGCAGTGAGTGTGATACACTGCCTGCATGAAAAAAGCAATGAATGTATAATAGATGCAAGCACCTACAGGCCACTATGGGAAATTCATCGTGTACACAACGGTCCGCATATGATGGCTAGTGACCTCTGGACGACCTACAAACAAATTTAACAAAGCTTGCAATGCATGACAACTTGCATGTAAGAAGCCATGAGCGACCTGTAACGCAACGCTGTGATTTACTTGTAAACAAGAAAAGGGAATCAATAGTAAAAAAGTGCATGCCACTGATAGATTGCGGTAGTAAACTTGTGAAGTTAGAATTTCACACTAGATATCAATTTACTTGCAAGCGATAAGTATGAGCCCCCCTCCCCCATAACGCACCGCACAACGTATCTACCTACAGAAATATATTCCTGCGGGTTGGATATTAAAAAAAGTGATAGCTTTTAGAAGGCGAAATGAGTTAAACAACATTGTCAA